GTGAAGAGAGCAACACTGGAGATGAGAGAAAGAGTCCCAAAGAATGCTACCGCCACCAGCCCGTGCCGCAAGACTGGAGGCAAAGGCTCCAACGTGGTGGACAGGGAGACCGACGAGGTTGCGGCCATTGTGGCCTTGATCAACAGATTGACAGCTGGTTCAACTTACAGAGAAATACGAGGGAGACACCTATTAGATGTATACCAGCTGGGCACTGGCTTGGTACCCCGGCACCAGTTGGACCGATGCACTTCAACAATCACAAGCAGCACCGGGTCCTCCGCCATGGAAAGGGAAAGTGCAAACTCCCCCGAATGATTAGATGGTGGGTGGACGCGAGAGTGGAAAGGAATCATGGCCTGGCCTGGACTTCGGGCCTGTGAATAGTCACCGTCCTGCAAGGGCACGTTTCACGCCGTGCAAGGATTGTACTCGTAGGAACGGCGGCGTGACACCATGCCAGTGGAGTAGGACAAGATACCGAGTACTCTGCAGCGAACCGAGCACAAGCACGTGTACCTACCGAGTAGTTGGACCTGTGTGCTATCCTGGAGTACGAGTACGACTAGGACCGACTCGCCGAATACTGGTAGGCCATCTCTTTCGTCAATTTTAGTGTAGGATTCAAAGCGAAAGGGGTTGAGAGTGTGAGTGGGGGGAAAGGTACCTGTACCAATTGTATTTGCATCAAGAGGACGTCTCTTCTCGCGTGGAAGCCGCCTGGTACCTTGTTAATCTTTTCTAGGTAAAGCGCCGACGCAGAAGTGCAATTTTTCTGGATGCTACCCCAGGTCACAACTAAGGAGGACCGCCCCTTTCCTCGCCTCCGCGAACTCGATGAGGAACCCAAAGTATTGAGAACGAGAAGAAAGCTCAGGCGCTCCTCGATGAAGAGGCTCGTGGGGTCCTGTAGAGCGGTTGCGTCTCACAAGCGCGCAACGGAATGACGACAACATGCTCCGTCAATCATGTTTGTAATGTAGCACAGCCGAGAAAACAGCGGACAAGCTGGCAGTCCGAATCACAATGCTGCTTGCGGCTAAGAGTCTTGGTATTCAGAAAGTCCAGCCTCCTGTTGTTTGGTTGGTCTGCAGAAAAGACAATTTGAGACAAGGACGAGTGACGATAGCCTGTACAAGTGCTTGAAGCACTCAGCAACATCGGGGAGAGCGAGATGGGTGATTCCTTCGCGAGAAAGAAGCCGCAAAATACACGTAAAATTTTTGGCAGACCCGCTGCGTCCCCTGGTGCTTTTGCACCAGCCCGTCGACGGCATGTCCCGCTGTCGAGGGGAACATGGCTTAGCTGACAACCCATGTTCAAACGTCCAAATGAAGTAAGGAGTAAAAGAAGGTGCCTGCAACGCTGTGGCGTCCACGAGGAGAGGAGGATACGAGTCTGTACCGAGTACTTTGTAGGCTGCGCCGGAGGCTCTGCCCAATGCATATTTCCTTCGCAGTGGAGCTCGCAGTCCTTGTACTTATACAGGAAGAAACAGGCGGACTTGCCGCTGGTGATTGGCATGAGGGGTATGTACTCGTACGTAGGTAGTCGAAGCCGCCAGGGGGCATGTTTGTCCTTTTCCTCCTGTCTTCGTATACCAAGCACCTCGTGCTTGTGCTAGTAGCGTTGCGGTGCGCATGCCACGGCCCGCTTATCATACTCTTGACAATTCAGAGGCCCATTGTCTTCAGGCTGTCCTCTGACTCGTTGTTGTATGTTGAGTTGCAGGAAGGACTCGAGGACATCGGCCAGTTCCCGAATAGCAACAAGGATGCTGATGTTCACGAGATTGTGCCCCGTACATGCTTGTTCCTTGTCTACCCATATTGCGCAGATACTCTATGTATTTGTTCCATAAGCCGTGCAGACTGTTGTTACTTGGTGGTAAGGTATCATGGAATTGCATCTCAGGGCATGTGAGGCTGTGTATCCGAAGAGCCACCCTTTCAGAAGTTCCTCCATGGTGTTGAGCATAGAAAATCACCAAGCATTTCACTCACCGACATTTTCTCGTGGTGTGACTTCCAACCACAGCTCTTTTTCTAGTTAATATGGTCTGTACGTAAAATAGAGGTGGCCACCGGTGTACTCGTTCGAGATTGTCCCACTGGAGACCAAGTAGTGTTGAGTCTCGACTGAAGTTGAGGCTGTAGGAAGATTCAGTCCAGGGGCTGATGACCCAATCTACGCCGTACCGAGTTCTTTGGCAGGGATCCCGATGAATCATTCGAAGACTCAGCATTGTGCCCAATCTTCTTTGACATTGCCAGTCACTGATGGGTTGAAGGGAGATTGGGCTCGCATTGTTGATTGTCCGCAATATCAAATACCCATTCTACCCAACGGTGCCTATGAACACCACAGTCAGCGAACATGTACCAGATTTCCTGCGGGAAGCATGACAGGTGTTTGTGACTGGGTCAGATCAAGTGTAAAATGGATGTTCCGCATCAAGACTTTGAAGAATCTTTCAGAATTGCAGAATTCACATGGAAAATCATCAGATGCAGGACATGCAGAGATGAAGGAATCCCGGGGGAAACGTACTTTGAGGGTTGGTGGGATGTTGTCGAGATAGATGAGACAGAAGAGGATGAAGAGCACTTGTCATGCCCGAATGCATCTATGTTCATCAACATCGTCACAAACAACACCAACATCAAAATCCTCCTCTTCCTCATCGGGGCACTTCAAAAGTGCAAATAGACAAATTAAGAAAATGAAATGCGCGTGCCGAGAAGATTCGGCCAAGTGGCGCCGTTGCCGTGGCCACCCAGAAAAGTCCACAAAGCTGGGCTCTGCGTGGCTCTGGTAGACACATTCGCCAGCTGAATGCAGGCACCGTTCACCTTCTCATCTGCCAAAGTGTTTTGTATTTGATCGTTGTGAAGCAGGCCATCTTTGTCTTTGATTGTCAATATTGATCTGTTCCGTTGAATTCAAATACTGCCCTCTGCACTGTACACACCTACATACACACTGCTCTCTCCAATCCCCATTACGTCCTCGAGATCGCAGTTGAAGCCACGACCCTCAATGCCTCACCGTTGAACGAGTTCCCCTTCTACTCCTCACAAGCATAACGGTCGCCGGACATGCGTCTCCGAGTGCCCTGGGTATCGATTTCCATCCTGCGCCTTGCGATTGTCTCTGCCAACGAATACTCGCCCTTCTCAAATCCTCTCTTCGGTCTCTCGAACGATGCCCTGCTGGTGAAACGGCAAGGATGCGAATCCGGCCTCAACTCCTGTTCGGGTTTAGGAGCAAACAATGTCTGTTGTCCTTCTGATACAACCTGTGCATTGGATCAAGCGGGACATGTTGCCTGCTGTCCGTCCAACGCGGTCTGTACGGGTACAATAGCGGGATCAATCACTGGATCGGTCGCAGAGACTACGTCGGGGATAGGTACAACACCCAGTTCTGGAGTCGTGTCGATTACTGGAGTGATTGGCGGCGGCTCGACAGTGACCAATCCGTACTATCCTTTTGTCTATGCACCGACCTCCTTTCCTAACGCCGATCAATGCTCCAGCGCATTCACAAGCTGCCAATCCGCCTCAACCGCCTGCTTCACTTCACTCGCAGGGGCCAATGGAGTAACAATAGGCGGTCTTGGTGGAGGCATAACGGTACAAGGAGTCTCGGGCACAATCCTCAGCTCTGCAAGCTCCATTTGCAGTTCTCTGAGCTCGGTGGGATGTTCTGCTTTACAACAAGTGAGCCAGTGTACCATATTCGGAAGCGGCCCTGGAGTTGTTCCAACCACGACCGGTGGGACCAGTGGCATCATTCAAGTTGGGAACAATGGTCCTCGGCAGACACCCTGTCCCGGAATGCTTTATGCAGCAGGCGCCGGAGCAGCAATTGGGGCCATGCGCGGGATAATATGATGTCTGGACAGTCTCTTCGATATCACCTGCTGCATTTTGAGGAGTTGGTTGAATGTGTTGAAACTAGTTAATGGACATATGACGACGAAACGACTTGTACATTGGCATCACAAAGCGTTGTTTGAGAAGGACAACATCTGGATTTCAATTCTTACAGACCAGATCGAGACATCGGCGATACCACATGCTCAGGACCTTTTTCTGCGTATCTGGACCCGGCGCAAACAAGGAGCACAGCAGATGTTGGACATTCGAACTGAGCCAGAGGACCTACATACCCGCCATGAGATCATGGCCCAAAGAATCCCAGTACACGAATTTCTGAGCATTTCTGTCAAGAAGGACCTGGACCTTTTCTTCAACCGTCCAGCCGAGATCCGTACATGTGTCCCCTCGTGGAAGTCTGTTATAGCCGCCTGCCCTTACCTCGAATTTGTCTCTTGTGCTCTATTTGACTTTTTCTCTTCCTGTGGGAGAGAGGGAGCCTTCGTCTCAGGGAATAGATGCTCCCTAACCCTGTTTCTACGTCGTGTGAGGGTAACATCATGGTGGCAGATATGTCCTCGAAATCCTGTCGTATTGTTTTTTGCCATGACAGCCAGATCGTCTTCGAGGCTGATTGCCAGGGTTTTATTACCCTCCTGTCCTTTCACCATGTGGTGTAGCGGATGGACATCCCTATTGACCTATCAGAAACAGTGTTTCCGGCCTCACGGTTCGTCTACGAGTAATATCTGCCAGCCAAGCGAGGCACCCTTACTCCAATTCTGAGCATTCATGCTTGTGCTATTCGGCTTCCAAGACGAGGCCGGCAACGATACAAGAAGATCCCTCGCCTGGGTCGTCAGCTGCGCCCACTGTCCCTTGTTCCGCTAATCCAATGGACAATGTTCAATTTGACAAAGTTATATATACCCTGAGCTACCGTCGAAAGCATCAGCTTATTTGTGTTAGAGAATGGGAGCACAAGAGAATATAAGACCTGTTACATTCCCTCTGTTTGTTCTCGTGCTCCTTCTCTCCGTGTCGTCCTCTGATTGCTTCCTTGGGAAGGATTATACCCTTGACGAGCTCACCAGACAGATACTACCACTCAAGTGAAGAATGTCTCGGAACATTCCGATCGTCGACGCAGATGTCGAAACAGATTGCCTGATCATTGGAGCGGGCCCTGCTGGGGCCTCTTTGGCATGTTTCTTGATAAATTACGGTATGGTTGAGGTGAGCATCTGGCTTGGTCGAACAGTAGGCTGACATCCCTTGGGGGCTCCAGGACTCAGAGTGATGGTCATCTCGGACGCGCCGGGAACGACGGCCACTCCGAGGGCGCATCTGATCAACATGGCAGGCCTTGGTAGAGATATGTCGTTTCCACCTCTCTGTCCTGGACTTGCGAGCCAAAAGCTGACAAGGTCGTAAAAAGAGTGCATGCGAGATCTTGGCCTCGAAGACGAGTGTCTACGCCTGGGAAACCGAGGGGACGCGCTCAATTCGATCCGTTGGTGCTACTCTATAACCGGGGTAGAGTATGGACGAATCCATGCCTGGGGTGCTGGTCCAGCAAAGATGGTGCGTCTCGAAATGCCCTAGCTGATAACTTCGGGATGCTGCTGATCAGTACAACCAGGGCGAAGTGGCGGATGTCAGTCCCTGTGCGTCTCTGGATCTCCCACAGACTTACCTGGAGCCGATCCTGGTCCGCTATGCGACCACTCACGGTGTCAAATGTCTGTTCAACACGTGTTTTGCGGAACTTGAGCAAGACGCCCAGGGCTGCGTGACGACTGCTGTGAACAAAGTCCTCGGCCAGAAATTCAAGATCCGATCCCGCTACGTCTTTGGTTGCGACGGAGCAAGGAGCCCAGTGGCAGCTCAGATCGGACTCTCGTACAACGTGCAGCCGTCCGGAGGTGTTGCATACAATATCCTGTTCAATGCCGATTTGGGCGACGTGATGAAACATCAAACCGGACACTTGCATTGGATCATGCAGCCGGACACGGACCTGGAGCACGGAATTGCGCCCGTGTTGCGCATGGTCAAGCCGTGGCATCAATGGATCCTGGTGGTATTCCCCAAGCCAGGAGTCGACATTAAAGCTTTTGGCTCCTCTCAAGAAGCTACGAACCAGGTCAACGATCTGATCCGGGCAGTGATAGGTGATGACAAAATCCCCTTTGAGGTGGTGGACATCTCGAGCTGGAGGATCAACGAAACGGCCGCGAAATCCTATTCCAAAGGCAACGTGTAAGCATCTATCTCACCCGCCATGACCCGCCCCATCCTCGGGCCGGATAGAGAGGCGCGCTGACAAGCGATCAGATTTTGCCTCGGTGATGCGGTCCACCGACACCCTCCCATATTCGGCCTCGGGAGCAACACCTGCATACAGGACGCCTACAACTTGGCTTGGAAAGCCGCGCTGGTCCTCCAGGGGAAGGCAGGGGAGGCCCTGCTGGACACGTACAACGTGGAGCGGCAGCCCGTTGGCCAAGATCTGGTCAAGTGGTCCAACGAGCTGCTACGGAACCACGCGACGGTCTGGGGCGCGATTGGCATGTTTGGGGAGACGAAGGAGGAGCGCATCAAGGCCAACAGGGAACTGTCGGAGGCGTCCGCGGCCGGGAGGACACGACGCCGCGAGCTGTTTGAGGCTCTCGAGCGACACCGCGGCGAAGGCGACAGCGTGGGCATGATGATGAACCAGTGGTATACTTCCCACGCCGTCTACCTCGCCGACGAAGAGGGCCCTCAACTGCCCTTCCCCGGCGACTACCTCACCCAGGCCCGCGTCAGCACGTACCCGGGCAACCGGCTCCCGCACGCCTGGCTCAGCAGGGACGTTCCCAGCGCGGAGGTCTCGACGCTCGACCTGGCCGGGAAAAGCGCCTTTTCGCTCTTCACTGGCCACGGCGGAGACGGGTGGAAAGCCGCGGCCAGGCGCGTGGGAGATCGGCTCGGGATCACCGTCCACGCCTTCGCCATTGGCTTTGGCCTCGACTACGCTGACAAATACCGCGATTGGACCAAGAGGAGAGAGGTGGACGAGGACGGGTGCGTGCTCGTCCGACCTGACCGGTATGTCGCATGGCGGGCGAAGACGGTGGCAGGGGGAGGGGCAGAGGGAGTGACAAAGACAGAAGCTGCAAGATGGTGCGAAGAAAAGCTCGAACGAGTCTTGAGGTCGATCCTGTCGCTCTAAGAGACTTTTCTCTCTCCCTCTCTTTCTCTGTACATACATACATCATCGCAAGGTCATGGATTCGCTGGCCATCAGCTCCATCTCTCTCTGCGGGCAACTGACGTGAGAGATAGCGACAAGCTCCGTGCCTGAATCCTGAACCATGCCATAATCCATCCATCCATCCACTCCCGCATTTCACCTCTCCAGGTCCTAACCAACCTATGTGGTCTTGCCCGGTTCTGTACCTGTCCCGCCAAAGTTACAAGGTTGGGTTGGGTTGTAATGGGTGGAATGATGTTGTTCCAAGGTACACAGCATACCGTACGGAGGATGAACCAAGGCGGACCGAATTACTTACCATGGATTGATATACTTTGTGAAGAGTGAGACAAGCATGTGAGATGGTGTGTGAGAGAGTGAGAAAGAGTCCGGCACTAGAATGGCAAGGTAAATAATGCTTGCTCAGGCTTGTTCAAAGCTTCTTGTCAAAGCTTACAAGTGGTTGAGTTTTACAGTGCAGTGTGTCAAGGCACGCAAAGGTAAGGGTATACCTCGTATTATTCATTCCTCTCTTACTGCATGCTGCGGGTCCCTGCATTTACATTTCCATCTCATTCTCCGCCTCCACCTCCACCTGCATACCGAAACCCCTTGTAATCGTTCGACCTAATACGTCCAAAGTCAATGACATCAAGACTTTGAGAAGTGCGAACACCTCCGCAACGAATCAGACAGACAGCTCGTCAAAAGTCTCTTGGGGATGGTCGCACTTGACTCTGGGGAGACAATCACACCCCTGGCCATCACCTCGTGTATAGCAATTCGTATCTCAATCGACAAGGGACAGTCTCAGGCTTCAGACTGACGCCGTCCACGAGACCGTCGGCTTGATGCAGTCTTGCTGGTCGGAGATCCATCATATCCCGTATCGAGAGCTTCCAGGCTCTCAGCAGAGGGGGAGTACACCCACTCCGTCGGCAGTAATTGAAACCCGCCAGTATACTTCCCACATTGTGAGATCACCACTGAGCCGGCTTAATCCAATCACTAGTAGAGACATCGACAAGTGCCTCTTCGGTTGACCAATCTCGTTGTCGCCTCTGTGTATGGTCGACTGTCCACGAACGGGACGGGTCAGCATCTAGACCTGCAGGTTGCCTCGCGTCCACTTCCTTCTGGCAAGTCACAACCTTGGTCCCCAATACCTCTAGACGAGATGTCTTTCTTTTCCGTTGCCTGCCTATAAAGTCTCAGTAAATCCCCTTTGAGGGAACGTTGCTCGTCTTTCGCTCGTCGTCGCCCTGTTCCGCAGAATCGTGTCCGCCAGCCAGCCTTCCGCCAACATCGTTCGTTTCGATATTCACTCGTTCATCAACACTCGCAACCATGAAGGTCCTCTCTCTTTTGACTCCCATGTCGCTCATGGCAGGTGTTATGGCTGCCGCAACCCCCAAGCGCGATGCTAGCTGGCAATCGTGCGTGTCGCAGGCTGACGCGGAGTCGATTGTCAACCAATACATCATCATTCTTGAACATACCGATGCCGCTGCTGCCAATGCCACCGCCCAGAGCCTCCTTGATGAAAACTACATCGAGACAAGTGACTCCATCTTGTCGCTTGAAGGACAGCCGGTAAGTCGAAAGCTACATGTCAGCTCAAGAGGACCAGCCGAATAACCATCTTTTGTCAAAAAACAGCTCGGAACCGCAACCTTTGTCGGCAAGGACAACTATATCAACGGTGTGCTCAATTCACCGGGGTTGAGTGGGATCGTCACCCTCGATGTCCTCGTTGCCGGCTGCACCAACGTCCTTTGGTATTGGAAATTCTTGGGCGTCGGGACCGGGCAGTACGAGGTCAAGGGCTTCAATCTGTTCGCCATCACGCCGTCGTTGCAGCTCGCTTCGGCGAATTTAGAGTTCAATTCTATCGCGTGGGGTCTCGACACGGGGTATCAAGTCGTCTTTCCCCCAAGTAGCAAGTAATGGAAGGTAAATGGTCAAAGGCGAAGTAGATGGGGAGAGAGACTGGTTACGAGGTTGACAGTCAGGCCCTGAGGCAGAACTAAACCATCAATCAGTTTGTTTGTGTGGAGCAAGGTAATTACGGAATGATGATAGTTGAATCGCTGAAGAGTTTAAAGGAGGGAAATAAAAGTACGAGGTAACACGTATGACAAGGCAATCAAGCACCAAGTCCTCGTACCAAAGGCTGCACTGGCGAAGGGTGCAGGGTGCAGAGAACCCCATCGAGCTGAGAGCTTCTTTGACCTCTGGACCTTGACTATTGGCCCACCGTCATCAAAACTTTACGCTGGCTTTACTGGGTCATCCATCCTCGTCCTTTTGGTCCTTTGTTCCTCTTTACTCGAATAAGAAAAGACCCCTTAGGCTATTATCTTAGCTACAACGTCTACCGAGTCCCCGCGCTCACAGTTGGATCTCGGAACGAATCTACCGGCACTCGCTTGCCCACTTTCCCCCCTAAACCCCGATCCTTCGATCCATCATTGTCCTCTTGTTGCTGCCATGGTCCATGGACAGGTACCTGTTATCAATGACTCTCAACAGCCTGCTCCGTCCCGGGAGGAGAAAATCAAGCAGACCGTGACAAGAAAGAAGCCAAAAGGCTCATCTTCATCTGCGCAGTCTACACAGCAGTCCACCGATGGCGACCAGCCACAGAGTACTACGAAACAAAAGACATCGGGTACATTATCTCCAGAGTCCCCAGACAATGGAGCACAGGGCACAGGAGATTTGAAGGCGGCGCCCTTCTTCAGCATTAGTCGCAACAAGTAATTGGCATCTCTCCAGCAATATGAGGCGACTTGCACAGCTCGTCAAATTGTCTTCATGTGCCTAGCGCTAACTGCGACATAGACACTGGAAGTATATCTCTTGCTATCAAGGATCATGGCTCAGCATGCCGATCGAGGTCCTCGAGAGCGTTGCTTATAGCAACTACTACGCCTCCCGTCCCCGACCTTTCACCCCAGCCTTGATCTTCGACCTGGTCAAGATCAGAAGACTGGTCGATGAGGCAACCGATCTCGTTGTTCGTGCTGCAAGTGGCATCAGTACTTCGGTCATGCAATCGTCGTCCAAGAAGGGCATGTTCTATGGCAACGATGCAGAGATACTGGGACTTTCAACACAGAAAGGGATGGTGTACCCAAAACTAAGTCGTGAGCGGCAATACCGAATGCGAGACCAAGCGACGCAAAAGTTATTCCAAGCTTACTGCCTGGATGAAATCGCTGCAAGCGTTATCACGATGCAGTCGGTGTCAGCCTTGGAAGACGTGGCAAAACTCGTACTGGACCGCGAGGAACACAACCCGCATGCACAATATGTCCACTTCTTCCACGAAAAGATTCCCTCCATGGCCATGGCTGAACACACTTCCCTCCACCGTCTGAACGACGTGATCAGTCAGATGCCCACAGAACCCTCGCTGTGTAGGACGAGGGCCGTTGCCTCAATGTTCAAGAACGATATAGAGAGTGTGGTGCGAGACTGCACGCATGGTCTTACCGTGCACAAGCTATATCATCCCAAACACCAGAAAGACCAGCAAGACCGGACCCTCCACAAGGACGCTGCAACGGGGCCCCCTCGAGACTTTCAACCAAAGGGTCGTCTAGCTGAAAAGGATCAACCCAGCAGCACGGAGGCCCAGCTGTTATGCCTTCGGGGCACAGGATATCTAGGTCTTGCGTGTGGCTGGGTCAGTGAAACTTTGCACGGCCTTCCCAACAGTGGCCCTCGACGGGCAGACGACGCTGTGTGTTCCCCCGGAGCGGGGGACGCTGAGGAAGACCAACAACGACAACGCGCTGAGGCACGGAAGTTCGTCCGAGCCTACGCCAAAAGGGCGCTTCAGGATTTCCTCGTGTATTTGTCACACTTCGAATACACGCCAGGACTTCCCTCGAAGTCTACAGTACAATCCGTTTACAAAGTGAACGGCCCAGGGTCTCTACCCCGTACCCCTGATAGGACAACACTCGGTACTGACTCAACTACGTCCGCGGGCTCGTCAGAAGCATTGCCGAGCCCAGAGAACACGAAAGATCGTCTGAGAAACATGGTACATGCCCCGTCGCCCTCACCGCCTGTTTACAAGTTGAACGAATTTTTCGCGGCTGTACCTCCTGCAGATGTACCGGCTTGCGCTCCTCAACCAGACAAGGTGATCGATCCGAATCGTCCCATCTTCTCCAACCCAGACTTTGCTGAAGTCGTCACCTACAATCCACTTTTATTAGAAGCTCTCCACTCTGTGTTGCTTTGCCACTGTCTTCTACAAACATCGACCAAGGAACTTCAACGACATGCTTATATGGTGGCACGTGTCACACGCGTCGCCGACGAGTATCCTCTTTTTCTAGCACCTCGATCGCAGGCCCGTGCAGATTGGAAGGAAATTCTCATCCGTATGGAAAACTGGATTGGGCTGGAGCGGTCCTGGTCGAGTTTATGTAGGCGAGTGTATCTTGTCGAAGGTCTCAAATACGCCTCAGTAAAGGACAAGAAAGAACCGTCTGAAGGAAAAGGGCCACGAACAAAGCACACGGCCGACATGCAAGCATTAGCGGACGAGAGGATTACTGGCGACGAGAAAACACAGAAGCCGCACCACCACACAAACCTGAGGGCATCCCAGCTAGATCCCAGCATCGATGGCAACAACGAACGCCACTCCAAGACGCCAGACGATTGGGACTGGGAGGACGAGTACTCCTCGAAGGGTAGTGACCGGGCCAACGCTATTGTACGATACCTCCTCGACACACCCCCTCCCAATATAACTAATGGCGCTGGTCGGTCGAAGAAGAGGTCTGGTGGCAAGAGGAAATCGAAAAGGATGAGCAGCAATGTCTCGAGTGCACGCGAGACTGTAATGACGGCTGTGGGACAGGGCGTCGAGAGCCTAGAGCTGGGGGATTAAAGAGGCGCTCAATGTCCACAGTTGTTGGGAGCATCGTTGATTTGGCGGGTAGAGCAAGCTGCTCGTATTTCTGGGACATTCTACAAGATTGTCATGAGCTGGCCTGGCCAGAAGGATATGTACGATATGATGGGTGAAATACAAGGTAGATTCACCATGAATTCCCCCTCAATGTGAAGCCGAGATTTGGGTGATGCAGACAGACCAATGACGTTGATTGGGGAAAATGTCTGTGGGTTTTGGACATCCGGAAGTTCAACGACGTCAACGAACAAAAGGCATAGAATAGACACTTTGCACACTTTCAGGGTCAGCTGGGTGGGCTTTGGTGCAGAGTCCTTGTTTTCCTCCTACGTGTCCTGATCCTCTCTCTCTCTCTATTAGAACCGCTCAAACTCGCCCTCTGCCCCGCTCGCGAGAACAGTTGACCCTTATGCCGACAACCCCTCCCCATCTGAGTCTCAGCATCACCAACCCCCTGATTCTCTATCGCACTCTTGTCGCAACTAGGAAGATCAAGCCCGACCCGGCGCAGCATCGCCTCGCACTGCAGCTCCAGAAGCTGTACTTTCGCCTCAAGGACTACGCGCCGGAAATCGAGTACCGGTATCGGCTGGAGAAGATCGGGCGGAGTGTGCCGAGGAAAGCGAGGAAATCGTCGTTATCCACTGAGACGCCAGGGGTCCGACATGGTGCCCAGCAGGGGAGAGGCACGTCTGATCACGATGGCGACCGCAACGGTAATGAGGACGAGGACGACGTTGGCCGCCGTGACCGCCGCTGGACGAAGGCGGGGCGCATCTTGTCGTCGCTCGTGTCTTTCAACTCACTCCCGTCCACCACGCTGGCCTTGACCAGGACCACTCCGCTCCACCACTCTGCCCTCGCCATTGATTCTCCGCTGGGCATGCTCCTCTACGGCGAGGTCGGCCGGGGCAAGTCGATGCTCCTCGACCTTTTGTACGACAGCCTTCCGTCGCGGAAGAAACGCCGCTGGCACTTCAACACGTTCATGCTCGACATCTTCCGGCGCATTGAAGTCGCGCGGATCGAGCGGCTCGAGTTTCTCCGTCCCTCTTCAACGACGAGAAGGAGCCTCTTTGGCCGCGACGACGTCGTCTCGGATCACGAACATGTCATCCTCAGCCTGGCCAAGGACACCGTCTGCGACTCGCCCATCCTGTTCCTCGACGAGTTCCAGATGCCCGACCGCGCGGCCTCGAAGCTGATCAACGGCTTCTTCACCGCCTTCTTCCACCTCGGGGGTGTCCTGGTCGCCTCCTCCAACCGCATGCCCGAGGAGTTGAGCAAGGCCGCGGGCATCGAGTTTGGAGACCTGCGCCGAACCGCCACCCCCGGGGGTGTGGCCGGGGGGTTCTTCGGGCTGGGCTGGGGTATGTCTCGCGAGAGTGAAGGTGAGAGGGCCGCGAAGACGGATTTCGGATTGTTTCTGGAAGTGCTGCGCGCCAGGTGCGAGGTGTGGGAGATGGAGGGCGAGAAGGACTATAGGCGGGAAGGGGACGAGGATGATCTAGCTGTGGACGAGGGTGCCTTGGACCCAGAAGTCTATGATGCCGCAGCAGCTGAAGTCGAAGCCGAAAAACTTCTTGACGACATGGTAGACAGTACAAATCCCTCGACCAGGAGCACCTCTGTCTCGGGCGTGAACGCGCTGACAGAATCCACGACCTTGTCATCCGACACACCAACGCACTACCACATCGATCTTCCCTCCTCCACGGTGTCCGACGAAGCCTTTGAAAAGGATCTCCGCCTCCTCAACCCATCGGCGACGTGGAACCCCATCACGCTGACAATCTACGGCCGTCGCCTCGAGCTGCCCTGCACGCAGAAAGGAGTCCTCAAATCCACCTTTTCAGCCCTCTGCGCCACGTACCTAGGTCCTGCGGACTATGTCTCGCTCTGCTCAACGTTTCACACGGTAATCCTCACCGACGTGCCCGTGCTCACGCTGGTGCAGAAGAACGAGGCCCGCAGGTTCATCACCCTGCTCGACGCGCTGTACGAGGCGAGATGCCGGCTGTTGATCCAAGCTGCCGCCCCGCCGGACAAGTTGTTCTTCCCGGAGACCAAGGTCAGAAGAATAGGGGCGGGGGCTGCGAGCAATGCCGAGGGTGATGAAGATGATGGAGACAGCACCGCGTCCATCACCTCCGAGTCCTTCTCCGAGATATACCAAGACTCGACCGCCCCGTTCCGGCCCAACATCTCGTCCTACACCGGGGCGAACGACACGCACTATCCAATGCCTTTCCCGTCCTTCACCCCGTCCCTGCATAACCCCAACGTTCGAACCGTACTGGCCGATGAAGATGCCGATTTCGGTCCCACGTACGGCAACGGGAGGGGCCACGGAATCTCGGACTCCAGCACCTCGCGCTGGGACGTCGGGAGGGCTACCGCGGGTCCAGATTTCACCAGCACGTCCGCCTTGACCGGCGAGGACGAGCGCTTCGCGTACAAGCGTGCGCGCAGTCGTCTGTGGGAGATGTGTGGTCGGAAATGGTGGGATGAACGACTGCCCGTGGCTCGGGGTTTGAATGGTCATGATGATTACCATGGTGACAACCATGCACCGAAGGAGACCTCTCTGAGAGAGATAGAGGACCTGGATGCCGTATCGGCGCCTGCGTGGTGGCGGCCCATCCACAGCTCTGGGCGATTCTGGGAACCCACCTCAACCACCACAGCACAACCATCGGCAGCAGAGACACCCACGAACCGTCCCCTTGGATACCACTCACATTCTCCTTCCCAACCACCTGGTCGCGGTCATCCAGGCCCAGCTTCGCCGGATAACAATGCGGACACAAACCCCAAGCGCGACGCCATGTTCCGACACGACGCCTCGCCGTACCGTCGCCACGCGGACCCGCCGCCAAAGTTTGGCTGGGAACACGCGTGGGGCATGATGCGGTGGGGGAAGAAAGCCGGGGAATGGGGCAAGGGTGTCGAGGGGAGGAGTCCACGAGGTCACAGTGGTGGCCGCGCTGCCGGTGGCGGGTCTGGTGAGAAGTAAACAGAGAAACACACCCGGAACAGGAGAAGGAAGAGTTGGGGGGGGAGGAGGGTGGTTGTCTCTACTACCTCCATCAGGAGGTAGTTACAGATTACAAAGAAAAGACCAAGGGAGGATAGACAATTTACCGACACATCTACCTACCCTATGTACCACCCACGTGTACCTATCTATATACGTACATATACACATACATGCATGCAACACCCAGGTCCATACTCAGTTGGACATACAGAGACAGACAGACAATCACAAACGAGTACACGTCAGAACACACGTGCATTGCAGACAGACCCTGAAAAGGGGTGACAAAACTTGATATTCTGGTATAAATTTATGAATGAACAAACGATAGACTGTTTACCTCTCTCTCTGTGCTCTCCGAACAAGAACAAAGAGATAGAAAACAGAGTGTGGCCAACTGACTACGAACGACGAACAAAGGAGGAGGAGATGCATTGTGATCTTTCCCCGTCCTTTAGAGATCTTGAATACAAAATCTGCAAGTCCTCAAAAAGGCGTTTTATTCCCAAAATCCTTCTTCTACAGTAAAAGAAATCCAGGGCTGGTTCGCTCGTTCATTCACCCACTCATCCCAGCCTAGCCATCCGCCTCACTTCCTTGTCGGTTGTGGGCTCATTTTGACGCCATCGCGTCCAGTTCGTTCTCTATCTCCCAAAAACTCTGATCTCTAGGATATGCCCGTGTCGTTGTGGCGCAAGTCTCCTCCTCGCTGAGACGGCAACGGCAGTCTCACTCATCGTCATCAACGGCGGGCGGGGTGCTCAAGTAGCCCTTGTCCTCGAGGTACTTGACGATGATCTTGACGCTGTCTTCAACAGAGGTCTTGTCGCTTCGGATGTGCACCTCCGGGTTCAGCGGCTCCTCGTACGGGGCCGTGACACCCGTGAACTCGGGGATCTTGCCCTCGCGCGCCTTCTTGTACAGGCCCTTGGGGTCGCGCTGCTCGGCCACTTCGACGGGGACGTCGATCCACACCTCGACAAAGGGCACGCCCGGTTCGCCGCCGGGGCGCTCGGCCTCGTGCAGCTTGCGTGCGAGGTCGCGGTCCGCGCGGTACGGGGAGATGAAGCTGGTGATGGCGATAGTGCACGAGTCGGCAAACAGTTTGGCCACCTCGGCGATGCGGCGGATGTTCTCTTCGCGGTCCTTCGGGGAGAATCCCAAGTCCTTGTTGAGCCCGAAGCGGATATTGTCGCCATCCAGACGATAGGCGTTTTTATTGTACGGCTTGCGGATCAGGGCTTGTTCCAGGGCAACGGCGATAGTGGATTTGCCAGAGGCCGACAGACCGGTGAGCCAGATCGTCAGACCAGATTGCTTGAGGAGCCCTGCCCTGATGGAAGGCGTCAAGGGCGTGGGATGGTAGTGAATATTGCTATTCAAGGGTGTAAGTATTTTTTCAACCATTTCATTCCCTTTTGTCGCTTTCTCAGAACAAAAAGTTGCGCAAAAATTGTTGGGTCAACCAAAGTTCTTCTTCACTACCAAACAACGTAATTCAAAGTGAGGTCAATTCGACAGGCAAAATGTGGTTAAGATGACAATGATATACATATCAAGGAAAAGTATCCCAAGACACCTGAATGGCTAAACAAGACAAGGCCACAACAAAATGTCGTGCTATCATGCTGTGCGAACTGAACAGAACCCGGGAAGGGGGAACGTACGTTGCCATGGTTCGTAATCTGTTCTTGACAGAAACTGCTGATCTTATTTCCTGAGCAGGACGACGGTCTGATACAACAACCTCGAACTGGAGTTCGTTGGTACAGGAGACAGGAGGCGGTTATATCAAACTCCTTCACCGCTGTCTGCTCGTGAGGCGCTCCTCTACCTTTCCCTTTTTGGTTCAAATTTTTTCTGTTGATATCGGGAGTCGGAGCGCCAAGGTGTGTTGGCCTGTGCCACCAAAGTCTAAGCCGCTGATAATAAAAGGGGACAGTGGATTCATGGGGGCGGAGACATTCCCTTCTCTTAACCTCTTCAGGCACCCCAGGAAGCTAGACGCAACGTGTGTCAGCGGGAGCTCTGGATCAGACATCCAGAGGGTTGATGCGGTCGATCTGTGTAGGTGAGTCCGTACTATTTCGGCTGGAGGCGTGCGTGCTGATAAGAATAAATGTGTTTGCTTCGTGTCGCCAGCAGCGTTCCGTTCCATTCCAGCGCTTCCGCCTTCCGGAGCAGCTGTGCCTTGTGTGTGATGGGTGGGGGCTCCATGATTTGCGGGCAGACTGGCATTCTTCAACAGCCGTCATACCTGTCAACGTTTCGTTTGCCAGCCTCAGCACGTCGACAACCACTAGCAGGCTATGCAGGCTCAAGGTCGTGCAGGGACCAACGGGAGCAACGCCCGACGGATATGTGCAGTCAGCTCAACCATAAATCTCTGCATCCATCACGGCTATGGCACCTCTGGATCTGGGATATCCTTCGTGGACGCAGATTTAGGTCTTCTTTGCTCGTGCATGTTTTGAACTTGGATTTGGCGATGTGTTACCTCAATCACAGGTGACCTTAATGTAGTCGGCTTGAAAACGATGCCTCTTGCAGCAAACAGCACGGCCGCTGTCTCAGAATGTCAGGCGCTCTGCATCTTTGGACAAGATCGGATCTCACGAAAGCATGTTTTGATTCTCGGGCATGTCAACGATCGGCCGACTCCAAGATCGATCTGAGAAGCTGCTTGCTTCCGCCCTATTCTGCGAGGATCAGGTGCCCTGGTACTGCCTGGCCATTCAGGGATGATCTTGTGTTTGAGTTGCCTAGGTGACACAAACAACCCAAAAGGATAAGCGAGGTCAATCAGTCAGCCACCATCTGGATTCTTCTAGGGTGAAGTTCCTGCTCCCGACGTCGGCTCTGGGGGGATCAGGAGTGATATCGCATACGATGCAACCTGGCACCTCTTCAGGAGAACCATGATGTACCCTCTTCGAGAAGTCGGTGTGATTCTTGATGGTCGTCGTTGAGAGCCGGCCGGATTTCCCTGCCGGCACTTGTGAGCTAGGGAAGCATTGGAATCTCAACCATGTTAGCGAGATGGATGTGGCTGGTACGTACACGAGCCTCTACACGTTCTTTCAGACAAAGAAAGCTGATGACCAACGAGACAGGAATTACGAGCCGTCAATCGCCTCTGGCTGCAACCTGTGCGACACGTTGCGCCGTTTGTGAAGGACAAGCATGCCCTAGCCTTAGGACGGTCCACGCAGTACTTAGGGAGCAAGTATCCTTCCCCAGACTTGTTTCTTTGTTCTTGTTGTTTCCATCTCTTATGGTCTTTGTGCCAATCAAACTGGCGGTGTTGAGATTCTGAGATCAATTGTTTTCCCCCTGTTTATGTCAAAGTCTCTGATAAATGCTTAAGACTGTTGACAGTCTGCTGACAGCCACTGAACATTGTGCTGCTCTGCAACAGTGTGATGATGATGGTTGTCGCCCGTGGGTAGGCAAGACTTGTCTGGGTCCATTGGAGGCTGGGTTGGGTCGGCCGCGTTGGTATGAGTGGCAAGCAGTGGCAGTGGACACCAAGGCGGAAATACAAATACTGGAGTCGCAAGAGGAACTCCATCAGCTGGAACGCATTGAACACCAGAGGCTAGGGGGAAGAAAAAAGTCTGCACTTCAGGATCTTCACGACGGACTGCAACTGCGGCTGCGACTGGAACTGGTACAGCCAAATTCAATGGGCGCAGGTGGATTCTGTCTGCCAGTCCCCTTTACGCTCACTTCACTCTTCACATCAACACCCGCAGTCCCTAGGTTTGGCATGAATAGACGCGACACATTTGACTTTTGCATCACTTTGGATTTCACGTACCGGGTAATGTCCCTGCACTGTACCATTGACACTGCTATTCGAGCCGTCGACGACAATCAGGTGGCAAGTCACTTGCAATATCAAATTCACCACCAAATTTTTTCCTCGCGTCCGCCTCTCCTTCACCTGCTATAAGTGACCCAGCCTCCCCCTGTCGAGATTTTCACATCAAACCTCTCTCAGCACACATCTGATTCCCAACATCAAATCCTCCAAGATACTCTTCTTTTGAGAATCACACCTTTCGACACAAACAAACAGACACAATCACACCTCTCACCTGCAGCTCACCCGTGTCAAACTCGCTCCAGCAGAGCTGCCACGATGATTGCTTGGGAGAAAATCACCAGATTGATTGTCGGCCGTGGTAGGCGTCTTCTCACTATGTGTCTAGCATTACTTGACTTGCGCTGACCTTTGCGTTAATTAGCCGTCGCGGAGAGAAGCGAGCACAAGAAGCTCGAAAAGAAGTACAAGGAGGCTGAAGCAGCTCTCAAACTCATCACTGAGGTTGCCCATGAGCCACTACCACAATGTCTCAGCAGTAAGTCCAATTTCGTTGTTTTGCCATCAAACGCGTTACCCAGTGCCTGACAGTGACTTCAGGACCTTCATCACTCTGGAGTGCAGCCATCTCTGAAGAAGCACGCAAGCCACGTGAAGGTGTCCTGCGCACTTCACAAAGACCCAACTACGAGCGTTCTTGCTCAACTCCCGCTGTGAATCATGTCGCACCTCGCAGATCACCATCTGGTCCACCAGACATCACTGCTCGATCCCTCAGTCAAGAGGAATTGAAGCGAAACTACAGCGCTGACAGCTTCTGGGACACCAAAATTCACCCACTTCCTCCCATGCCTGAAATGACGGGCTTCGGAAAATATCGCCGAGCCGTCAATGCCTCACCAGAGTGGCAGTTGGAACACCTTCACAAACACCTTTACGACATGAGCGACATAATCGTCGGTCACTTGGGCTCACTGCCTCCTGCCGGCCTGGATTCAGGCATCTGGGACGAGTACAGAACCCACCACGCCCGAACCACCAGCTTTGCAAGCTCACGCAGCTCCACCACTGGCCTCGAATCTGCCGTGGCCTCAGAATATCTTGACCCCGTCACCGGCACCAAAATCACCCGCGGATTTTCCGCTTCTACCATCTCGAGCGCAGCAAGCTCTTTCAGAGAAGGCTCAATCACCTTCCGCCGCGATTCCAGCTTCTCCAAATCAAGTATGGCCAGCCCTATGTCGGACATCGATGCAAAGGGCAGCCGAAGACCAAGCCGGACTTCTTCCTACCATACCAGCATGACATCAATGAATCATTTGACGTCCATCAGCGAAATCCAAGAACCATTCACCACTTTTCCCCGCAAAATCCAAAAACCCTGCGAGTTCGACCCCAATGGAAATACTGAGAGTGCACTTGCATCCGACGAAGACGAAGAACTCGAATGGGAAGACATGCTCGAAGTTGGCGGAGCCAACATGAGCAACCTCACCAAACGGCTTGACCGAACATCATCATCTCGCGCCATGTCACAGATGAAACCCGCATTGACTCGTCCACGCACAAAGAGACAGAGATCCAACACTGTGCGCCGAGTTCATTTGGTGGAAAACCGCCACTAATTACTCATTTGAATCAAAACCCCTTCGATATCTCTTGGGCTACGACGAATGGATCAACGGCATCACGAATTATACGCCCCCGTCTATAACGACTTTTCATTTTCTCTTTCAACAAGACCGTGATGGTCAAGGTCACTGCATTACGGAGTTTAGGAGTTTATTGGGTTATGTTTATGGGAAGGGCTCATGGGAAGAGCTCTACAACAGCGGGATTCGTTCGGTTCACAAGCATTGCGTTCAGTTTCGCTGGGACTATAACAAGTATAATTCTTTTCTCGGGTGCTGCATCGTCGTTAATACGGAAGGACTATGTTGATGGGTTTCCTGATAGCCTTCGCGATCAACAAGAAATACAATCAAGTCATTGAATGAAGGTTTCTATTGTAGTCTCTTTCTTGATGCGTGCGTTTTGTTTCTCATCAACACCTCAATGGTACAGTATTGACGTGGCTGTAGGGTTTATTCGTGAAGACAAAAGCAGCCAATAATTGTGGGAGATGGTGTGATTGTGTGGATTGATTAATTCCTTGGACCGCAAGAATCCGTTGAATGTTGTCGGCTAGCGAAGTGCCAACGCTTCAACTCACCCAAATATTTACCTATCACTCGTACTCGTATTCCCTCATTATCTACCTACCACCTCCACCAGCTCGCACATTAAGAACCTACATAAATCATGTAGCGTAGCCTACACGTCGTCAATGTCATCCACACCGACAACAACGACGAAGAAACGCCCGGCCTCGCCATCACCCACCGCCGACGACGTAGAAGATCTCATTGCCGCGGCGGCCGCGACCGCGTCAGGAGACAGACCCGCCAGCAGAAGCGTTGATGGGAGTGATGACGACCGGGTCTTCATCTCCTCGCCGATCCATGACCGCCAGTCCACGTTCGTGGCGCACTTTCACGCCGCGCCGGGGGTGTTTGCGAAGCCGTCCGGAACTGGCTCCGGGAGCGGGAGTGGGACGAAACCGCCATCGCTATCGTTGACGGCAACGGTCAAACGGCTGCAAGCACACCCGGCGTTTGCGAGCGCGAGCCACCGCATCGTCGCGTGGCGGCGGCGGTCGAGCCAGCAGACACTCTTCACCACAACCACAACATCTACATCTACATCTACATCCAACACACCCGGCGCCACCGCGGGAGGAAGGCCCATCTACACGACGGGCTCGGAGGACGACGGCGAAAAGTACGCGGGCAAGCGGCTCGAGCGGCTCCTGGCCGACCTGGACGTCGAGGGCGTCGTCGTCGTCGCGAGGTGGTATGGTGGTGTGTTATTGGGCCCCGTGAGGTTCACGCACATCGAGGACGTGGCGCGCGAGGCTGTGCGGAAATGGCGCGATAGTCTTGGAGGTGGCGGTGGTGTGGGATCGGGATCCAAGAGGCAGAGACTTCTTCCCGATAATGATGGCGTTGGTGGCGGTGGTGACGCTGGAGATGACGAGGAGGCAGAAGCGGAAGCAGCCATCAAGGCACGACTCGCCGACCAGCTCGCCGAGCGGGACCGCAGCATCGTCGTCCTGCGAGGCCTGTTGGCCGACAAGACCAAAGCCACAACAACCTCGACGTCCACGTCCACGACCACGACCACGACAGAGAACGCAGGGGCACCAGCAGCACCGTCGTCACAGCCACAACAACGACAACAACAATCTTCAACGCCCTCCTCGCCAGCCGCTCCCCAGAAAATTGAATACAGCGACATGCCACTGACAAAGCTGAAGCAACTGGAAAAGGCACGGGACGCTACGATAGCTTTTATCTTGAGGCAGCTGGATAAGCTCGAGGAAGAGGAGAAGAAGAGTGGCAGCAAAGCCGAAGTAGGCAAAGGAAAAAGCTAGCTAGTAAGCTAGCTAGCTAGAGAGGTTGGGCGAGCACTAACCACTCATGTCACTGATATCACTGATGGTGGTTGGTGGTGGATGATCGAGAGATATGAAACAAAGAATAGCGATGAGCCGTCAAGTGCGTCTCACGCGGGTAAACCAATCAGCCATGGAGAACAAGGGGCCGTCAGAGAGCGGGCGAAAAGGGATTGTGTGTTCTATGCAAGACCAACAGGGCGCAATATCAACATCAACATCAAGCTGAGACGGACACGTCTTCTTGACCACCGACATAGCCGACACCACTGGCCCGGCTACTTGCTGGCGTGAGAGCATTTTTCTCGGCCTCCTCCTCCTTGAACTTTTCAACCACCATCTTCCGCGCCAGCTGTTGGTAATCTGCAAAAGTCACGGTGGTTGTCAGTCGATGTGTGCCAACAACACATGCCATGCCATGTTCGGTCCAGCAAGAGAGGTATTGCGAGCTGTGCCAACGTATAGCCAGGTGGTCATCCAAGAGTTGTGAAGGAGAGATCATGCAAGGGAACAGAGGGTAGGAAAGACTCACGCAAAACGCCACTCTCCTTGGCCTGGTTCAACACTCCTTGCGAGTAAACGCCTCGCTCCAGATTACTCTGAGCGACCTCGCACAGCTCAAAGTCCTCCAGGGCCACCTTCCTCACAAACTTGAAGTAATCCTCAAACCCTTCGGTGCCGCCCTTGCCGTCGTCAAAGTAATAATCAAACTCCATGCGCGTCTCGCCCACCTTTTCGCCGGGGCAGACGCGGAAACTGCTCATGCCGCCGCCGTACAGGTTCAGGGTGCAGACGGGGAAGAAGAACAGGAACAGACCGTCGTTGGGCTTCTGCGGGTCGGCAATGTGCCGGCTGTACGTGTCGTGGTTGTGCACCTCGTAAAAGGTGGGCGGGTACTTGACGCTGAAGCTGCGGTGCGTGTATTGGCAGTGCAGGCATTCCTGGTATCCGTCGACCATGGTTTTCCAGTTGAAGCGGCCGGGGTATTTGATGGAGCGACGGTGTGGCAGGCGGCGGAAGTTGTATTTCGAAAGCAGTTCGAGCAGGGATGACGGAAACCATTGCTCAAACGGCGGCGCGGCGTGGTCGATGGTAGTGAACAGGAGACCCGTGGGAGTCAAGCGGTGGCTCAAAAGGACGCCCTGGAAGATGAGAGAGAAAGAAAATTACGAAAATTCAAACAAGAAAAAAGGACATGGGCCACGAGCATACATCGGATTTCCTCTTCACCTCAAAGTTCTCGTTTCCATCGTGGTGGACGACGATGGACACCCCTGCGAACTCGTACTCGACTTCCCGCTCCACCGCGAATCGAGGGACAGCTCCCACAAAGTACCAGGCTTTGTGGAAGATGGCCCGTTGTTCGAGCGACAAGAGATTCTGTGAAATGTACCACGACGCGGGCAGTGTTTTTGTCGCGTTCATTGCTGAATTCATGGAGATTGTTTCAAAGTTTCAAGAAGTATCAGCAGACGTTTCAGTAGTAGTAGTAGGAGTAGTCGTCGACGTCGACGTTTGTATTTTTACCCAGGCACGACGTTATCATAAGATCCCGCATGATGCCGACCCTTACAATGAGTTCCAAAAGAGGCATTCAAATACCGACCGAGCGATGGAGCCGTGAGTCTGTGACTTGTTGATCCACCGGTGGCCCCTATTCGCGCAAGCCGTGGAAAGAAGTGCCCGCAAAAGGCGGATCGGCATTATTCATCGCAATCCCTGGGCTGAACGATTTGCACATGTGCCAACTCGTCACTGGGTTGGGTTGGGTTGGGTCTGGAACTTGTTTGGTCATTGTGGTTCGAGTAGATACTTCCGCAGAAGTCAAAACCCTGTCGAGGGGATGTGATTGTTGCGCCGGGATCGTATTACCCAGTTGAGTTATGGCGCGGTTTTTTCCCCCCTGTGACCCATGGACCATAGAGTGCGTCAGCTTTGATATCATGGGCGACTTAAAACTGACGAGTGAGAATATAATTAGTGTCGGATCCGAGCGTTGTAATGGGGTACAATCGACCAGAGTCAATCAAGGTCATTGGCCGCCCTTTTCCAGTAGCTTCTCGGGCACCGCATCCTCCATTATCAACTGTTGAAAATGCTTCCCCTTGGCCAACACGGGCAATCCGGGGCCGCCCACGGTCTCGTTCGTATCGTATTCATAAATCGTGATTGACCCTTTCTTGTTGAAACAAAAAACCCAATATCAAAAATATATCAATACTGGCCCCAGAAGAACCCTTCTAGCATGGCCGTAACCCCAGTCGAGAGCCAGTTTGGCTCCATGTTTTCTCCATTGCCTGTTTATCTTTCTGCCGGTGCTTGCATTGTTTACCTGGTCGGACGTCTCCTGTTCAATCTCGTCCATGATGACCGCAAATCCTTTGCCCCTGGTTCAAGTCTTGACCAGGCTGAGAAGGGCAGTCTAAAGCAGGAGAATATGTCGGATGACGACATCTTTCAGTTGGAGAAAAGAGCTTTCTTTAGCAAGGTAGGCGGTAGTCTACTTCACTTTGTCTCGCGAACAAAGGTCGCTGGTGCGAACGGGAAAACTGACTGATCTCAAGACATGGCTCTTTGTGTGTCACCGCAGCAGATTCGACAAGCCCGGTGACTATCATGCATACGACGTCGCCGGTATCTCGTTCTTTGTCGTCCTGGGCAAAGACTTGAGACTCCGGGCCTTCCACAACGTCTGCCGGCATCGAGCATATACCGTGGTGCGCAAATCATGTGGCTCCTCGACGCGGTTTTCGTGCAAATACCACGGCTGGCAGTACGATGACACAGGCGCCTTGGTCAAGGCACCAAAATTCGAAGAATCGCCCGGATTCGTACCTGAAGACAATGGACTGTTCGAGATCAAGTTGATCACGACGAGAGAAGGCTTGGTGTTTGTCAATTTTGACGCAAGTACGCTGAATCTTCCTTTCAATAATGTCAAATCCCACGTGGATCTGGGGAGCTGCTCGTGGGTGGATGGAAAGGAGGTGACCTGTCCAACGAATTGGAAAGACATCGGTAAGTCAATTTGGAAATCCATCAGCGTCCAAACTCTGACAGCGATCAGCAAATGAGTTCTCCAACCAGGCTCAATGGGCGCAGAGCCCCTTTGAATGGCTTTCTGCAATTCGCAAGTCCAAATCCAAAGTTGTCAGACTACTCGGTCCCTTGAGCATCATCAAGGAACTCGACGATGATCTGTGGTGCACCATGGTGCTTCTACCACGGTCGAGCTCAGAGGTCGTTGTACGCTGCGACTTTTACCTCAAACAGGGACACACAGCTCCGGCAAAGGTGCTGGAGAAGTCGAAGTGGATGCTGGAGCAAGAACTCCTGCATTTATCGAGCCCAGACGAAACCAAGAGCGCAACGAGATCCCCATATTTTGCATATCAATGCGGAGGTGAGCGATGTCTCCCAGATACACGCTACACGATTGCTGATCGACGTCATAGGTCGCACGATTGACTTGTTTGCCATTCTCGCTCAGCATCAACGGAACGAGAAGATGGCCAAGAGGAAGCTGCAGCCAGCGATCAGGGTGACAGGCACAGCCGATATTGACACGGAAGCCGAAGCCTTGTGCGATGCCCTTGATGGGGTAGCCGACTCGCCTTCCTTGGAGAAGTGTTCGCGAATTTCCAGCTTGTCTCAAACCTTGGAGTGGTGACAGCCGCTCAATGAGATTACAAGGGGATGGGACTAGAGGCAAGAAAAAGGAGTAAGAGATACATTGATTTGCTTGCATTGTAAGTGGCCGAGATGTTCAGTAGCCAGGCATTCATTAGCGGGTCAACTTGGGGCTTGAGGCCATTGGGAGTGAGACACATAGAGCTTGCTCCTATTGTGGAGCGCAACCTAAAGACTGTCCAGGATACGTCGGCGTTGTTGGGAAGAGGGATGCACAGGTAGATACAAGATATAGGGTAAGAGAGTCATGGTCTGATTGAACTGGTGGTGACAATGGAAGAAAGAGAACGCGTGCAGACGCGGTCTGGTAACATGGGATGTTATTACACGTGACTTGGAAGGCTTGGCCTATTCTTGGCATTGGTATTAAACTTTGTCCCCTTGAGCCTTGATCCAACTCGCAGTCTCCCTCGATTACCCGATTAGGCACTTAATTGGAGGTGTCCTATCCGACTTCTCGTCCTCCCGATTGTCGCCAACTAGGGCGATGCGACGGAGGATTCGGTCAGCGACACTGTCCCGAGGAAGAACATAAGTGTGAGAAGCGCTGACCAGGCCTAGCTGCTAGATTGTTGTCGATGAACACTCGGCATCCGTATCGGTTCTGCCAGTGAAAGATTACGAGGACCGGGTACATCAGAGATCACACCACATCTGGCCCTTCGGCAGTCGAGATACCAATCACAATTTGGCGGCACGATCTACGAGGTAGACCAGACAGATATGCAGCCGCAGGGACGACAGAAGAAGTATCAAGGCCGGACTGCGGGAGGATTGCTCGAAATGCAAACAAAAAATGGAGTCAGGAACAGTCTTCTGTGGATGCGCTTGAGGGATGCTGTTGCAGCACGACTTCCCGGAAAAGGAATGGACGACAGCGAATTCGGGGGTCCGCAGACTTTGGCCGTGGGGCTGGAGGAATGATGGAGGTGGAAAATATGCAGCTTGCCATGTACACAAGTCCTTATCTTTCATTGGTAGGATCCTCGCACGGCACGCAGCGGTGGGAAGGCCGACTCGGTCCCTCAGCTGGGGGAGTGTAGGCAGGGTGATATCGTGGGAACTGGGTAGAGACGACTTGTAAGGATGAGTATGTAGGTAACCTGTCTGGTAAGAGGAGCCCTCGATCACGTCTAAAGCGTCTGGCCAAGCTCTTCATCGCGGGAGCGAGATGTAAGGTTCGGTTGTCTATTGATCGGTTAAAGGCCCGTGGGACCAGTCGCCCGAGTGGTGGGGACAGGAATGCTCAGGTTTTGCATGGAGCATCCAAATCGTCAAGTTTCCAGATTGTCATTCGCTGCAGTGAGAATATCAAGTGCCTGCTGTGCTGATATGCGATCCGATGGCAAGAACCTCGTCAAGCGCTCAATAAAAGGAAGAAGAATCTTCAATTCTGGTTCCTCGACGTGTTTGTCGAACATCTGCTCCAGCCTCAACCCCGGAAGAGGTTCGTGTTCTTCGAGTTGGGAACCTCCATTGGCGTCGAGCCTCATCTGTTCCCACTTTGGCTGCCATTCAAGGGGCAACTCTCCCACAAAGTCGACCATCGATGCAACGAACGTGTCGATTGTCCACCATTTGTATGGCAAGGTTTCCAAATATGAGATAGTAGATACATAGCAAGTGTCAGTATATATGTGGCCTTCGATTTGACCATGGGGAAAAGCTCACTATTGAACCCGCGCGCCACAAGTTGAGTTGATGATCGAACCTGTCAGTGAAGATTGTTTCGGGCGCCTGCATGCCTGGAGGTCGAGCGAGACGTTCAGGAATCGCATCTAGGCTGAATGCTTCTCCTAGGCCGATAAGTCGAATATCGTCATCGTCTGTATTATCTTCATCTGGCCAACTAACCCATTCCACTGACTTGACTAGCTGCCTGGGACGCTGTCACTGAGAGATTTACTATCCACTCGGACTAAATCTTTCGATTCAAGAAGGCCAAGCACTTCGAAAAGCCTCTCTATGGGGTGACTTAAACGACCAGAAGTAAAGGCAATGTTTTTGACACTGAGGCCTCCAAACATTAGCTCATGGCACAAAACGCCACCTCACTTCGGAGGTAAGCAAGAGGTCGTCAAATATACCTCTGTGAGCATGACCAGCCTTGTGTGTAAAGGTAACAGCTTGCAGCAGCTGTTTCGACACTTTGAGAGTGGTTTCTGTATCCAGCCGGTCACCGCCTGAGTGGTAATCTTCCACGATGATATTGAGAGTAGGCCCAAGCAATTCGAAGACGAGACACTGAAGGCGTCCATTCGGTCCTTGGTGAAGAAACCCATCGAGTAGCTGAAAAATGTATTCGGAGCCTGGATCTTCTTTTGCGTGTTCGGCGAGGGCACGCAAATTGTAAAGTTCATTAGACTTGTCTATCCTGTCCGCCGTCATTATCTTCAATGCCACCCATCGTTCAAGCCCACAAGCTGTCAGCACAATTGGAAGAATATGACAAATGACGTATCGACATACTCGCAGTTCCTGGCCACCCATACTGTCGAGAAGCCACCGCAGCCGAGTTTGTGGTAAGTTTTGTACCGGCTGTCTTTCAAAGTCGCTCCAAGGAGAACGGGATGATATCCACCCGGCCGGTAATTGAGAACATTCTCCTCTTTGAACAATAAGAGATTTGACGTTCCGTAGTGCTTGTACACCTCGAACATATCCATGATAGAGCCGAGGATGGAACATCACAAGGACGATGATATACTTGGTATTGGAGAAACTTGTCCCATGGACTCGGCCTGCCAAACCACTGTGGCTGGTTGTACAACCATGAGAAGAGAAAGACTACTGGCTAGGAAGCAAGGGAGAAGTGAAAAGAGGAAGGCAAAGAAGGACGAAGGATAGAGCAAAGCAAAGAGAGACCAAGGTTGCAACATCAATGGCCACCCGATCTCTACAGGCTAGGTTCTAATATACGAAGCACAGTACTTGTCGGATTCACTTGTCTTAATTTGGGGCAGGTCAACTTAGGTTGGTAGATTGGTTAGAGATCCCTTTGACAGACATCTTCACCGGGTATTAAAGAATGTGATATTACAGAAACACAAGGGATAGCAAGGGATAGCCTCTACCAAGGTGAGGTGAGAAGAGGTCGGAATATTTTAGCCCCGCGCCGAGATACTCGATAGTCACAAACAAACTTCTTGGCCGACGTCTTCCCCTCCCAACTGCCCTGCACATGCGCACCCCGAGAATTGACAACCACCAAACGGGGCGCCAGCGATCTCCTATCGCCCTTCCCTGCTCCCTCACCACTTCTATCCCCCCTGAACCCCGTTATTGACACAGTCCTGCGCCATGTTCAAAAAGGAGTAAGCATACCCACCTTCTCCCCTGCGAAACATCAGACACTAAAGTGGTGGAAACACAGCTTGTCGGCGGGCGCAAAGTCCAAAGTAAAGTCCTCGGTTCAGCGGGGCATCAGAGCCAAAGTGCTCGAGACGTATCCGAACCTCGAGCCCTGCATTGACGACATCTTGCCCAAGAAGAGTCAACTGGACTTGGTTAAACTGTGAGGAACCCTGTTCTTGGGCGTACAATGCCGCTGTACTCGGATTTTCACCACAATTGGGAGGAGGGGTGTGGGAATTAGAGCAAGAGTGTTTCTGCGACATCCCCCCTCCAAATAAGCGATGTCTTCCTTTTGACGACCTGTGGCCGAAGAAGAGCAGAATCTTGGAATGTTATCTTTCCCTCTTCCGCATGGCAAATCACTCACAAAGACATGTTTGCATAGTCCCGACCGCGTCTCCCTCTATGTCCTCGACGATCGCCCCCTCTTCTACCAACACATGGATGACCCTATCATCCCCCACCTGAAACTGGTCCACCAATACCCGCAATGTTTCAAACACCTGCGCATTGACCGCGGCGCGATCCGCTTCGTCCTGTCCGGCGCCACGCTCATGGTTCCCGGCCTCACCTCCGCCGGTGGCTGGTTACCCGACAAGGACGAAGAGGTCAAAGCGGGGGAAGTTGTTGCCATCACGGCAGAAGGGAAGGAAGAGGTATGCATGATCGGGATCTTGGAGGTGGGCACCGAGGAGATGAAGGCGAAGAAAAAGGGCGTGGCGATGAGTTCGGGACACTATCTCGGAGATGGGCTGTGGAAGATGGAATTGAGTTGAGCAAATGGTATCGGGAAAAAGTCTGAGATGGATGTGTTAGGTGTTGTCTTCCCAGCACAGGACCTTGTTGACAAACAGAACGAAAAGGGGATTTCCGGGTCAATGCCGCTTGATGACACACACTCGACTGTACACTTCAAGGCACTTCCAGAAATGATGGCAGACCCTGCAGTGCGAAGGCTCGCTGGGTGTGAATCGAGGAAACATGCTTCATCCGCCGCCACAGTCACGAAGAAAGAAGCCAGCCTAATCAGACCGCAAAGGTGCAGCCAGGGAGGCAAGATTCTATATCTTGACACAGTCGTCGACTCGAATGCCAGTGATTGAGTCCCATCCAGAGACGCAACCTGCTGGTCGTCAATGAGCACGACCGAGCAAAAACACCTGGATGGTTCTGGTCTTTACAACAGACACATAATGCACATCCAGCCTGCAAGCCAGTCGACTGAGATACAAGTACTCGGCACAGAATAGCACTCTACTTTTTTTTATTTACAAGAATTGGTGGTGTCACAATGAACCATTTCATTCACCTAAGATGTCCTGGTCTCGTGATACTGTGTACAAACTTTTGTCTTGCCCTCCTCTCCTCGTTCACTGACAAAGAAGAATGGTGTGAGACTAGGGAATCTTGTGAAAGCTCGCATTGAGGGACCCCATCGGACAGCAGCAGCAGTATCGCATCCTTTTCCCACACGGGATGAGGCTCTGGCCCTTCTTTTTTTTCCTTGACATGCAATGTTTGGTGGGAAATATTAATCCCATCCCCTCCTGTGGGTTCTTTTTTTTGTGGCTTTCTGGTTCTTAAATCCAATGCGGTCTCGACGAGGTTAACGAATTAACCCTCCATCTCCCTGCAGTCTTGGTCTGGGACTCCCTGGCTATGCTCATTCGACCAGACACAAAAAAAATCCCCCCTTGACGCCAAGGTCCTGTAGGGTCGAGGAAAAGGGGGTGGTGTGGGTTGTCCTTCCCAGCTCGCTGCTCCTCCCGTTCACCTTTGCAACTCGCCCAGCGCTTTGCATGACCGTGTGTCCCCAGCCTCTCTGTCCCCACGGTAACTCTGCCATCCCTGTCCTCCCTGTGCAACGTTGTGAGGTCTATGCAAGAGACATAATTATGCCTTTGAGTGAAAAGAAAAGTGAGCCATTACTCTGAAACAATCGAAGAAAATGTGCTGAGCAACCGCGGTGTGGTATCTCAATCATAATTGGTCGTGAGTTGTCCCAGAGGGGAATTCTCAAGCCTAATTCAATGCGCCGCTTGTAATCCTTTGCATATGCCATTGAATCCTGCTAAAAGCTGCATGGTTTTTTTACTTTTTTCTCCCTTCCCCTTTCAGTTGGGATGACTCCTGGTGTGTGGTTGTGGAAATGTTGTACTGAAAAATGATCGTCGGTGACAAGAACTCGCTCTTTTCTGGTGTCGCACATGTCGCACGTCAAGTAACGTGGTTCGATGGACGAAATCACATGTGCATTGTACAAAGATCTCGAGGTCAATCGCGGTGAGTTTGTTGAGAACCGGTAGCTCCAGCAAAATGAAGTGAATCAGTTTCGAAGGGTAAAAAGATCACGGCAACGATGATCTCAGGTGGTGTTAATCAGACAAATGCCATTAGAAAATTTGCATATTCGTTCAACGGTCGAAGAGGCTTTCTCCCTACGTTTCCGAGAATGGCAACGATGAGCAGACACATGCTTTTTTTGTTCCGTCACAGCACACCAGAAAAAGGTGCCAAGGAGAGCAGACACTTAGCCGCTCTTATCGAGCTCGGCCTTTTCTTCTGCACTAAGGACGTCGCCGAGTCGTTTGATTGTCTTCAAGTTTGTCGCACCGTTGCGCCACGCAGCCCGCAAGGCATGGAAAACAGGTCGGTTATCGGGTTTTTCCTCTCGATAAAGGTTGATCATGTCGGAGGCAAGACGTTCACTGATCGGAACAGGGGCGGATAAGAGCTTGCCAAAATAGCGGACAAGATGCGACATGCCGCTATCACTGCCTTCGAGTAAATCACCAATCGCGGTCGTTTTGAATTCCTGATACATGCCGACATTGAACTTGTCGACAAGGAAATCAGTCCAAAAATTGTAAAGAGGTTCTAGAGCTCCGTCAACTCCCATTTGGCGCTGCTGAAAAGCGACATCATGGAGTGATAGGTATGTCTGGTCAAATTGTCCTGGCTGTGGAGGTGGCAATTGCGTTTCTTGGCCGTCCTTCGTGAAGTAAATAATGTTTTCGTCGCTTGTAGGAATTGTGAACGGGGTGCCGAAAGACAAGCTGCGGAATTGCTCAAGCCTTATCCGGCCGTTAGTGTTTGGCCGTGCAGCGATCGAAATGACTTACTGCTGTGGACTGCTTGCTCCGCCGCGCAAACTTGGGACCCGAGCTTGAGTTAGGTCCTGAGGCACATTGTTGCCTTCATTTTGTCCACTAGAAGACTCAGCCGAAGGGATTCGAGCGATACCGGGAAAAGGAGGGGCCGCACCACTGAGAGTGGTTGGTTGCATTCGAATGTTGACATTCGGGATCTGGTCGTCCGGAAAAATGTTATCCTCAATATCGGTACGTGAACTCTGCCGCTGGTGACCATTCACAATGTTGTTCAGGGGTTCCGAGGCGTGGTGTGGCGGAGATCGTACAGCAGGAGGAGCAACATGCTGGTAAGACACAATCGCAGGTCTCTCTGTGCCGTCACTAGAACCATCTTCAAATGGTCGGACGAGTGGTTCCCCAGATAGCTGATTCTCCGTTGGCAGACCAGGAACATAAGACATCGGCGAGTTTGCGTGGAATGCTCCATTGCTGGCACCAACGGTCAGCTGCGGACTGCGCAATTGACCGAAGGCAAAAGATGGATCATGAAGACCAACCTGGTCGGGTTGCGCGGCTTGAGAGTATGTTTCCGGGTGATGCAAGGGCCCTTCGTTGCGGGCCGATTCGAATCTCTCCTCCACGGGAAGAACAAAATCACGCCAGCCTTCTCGACGACGGAGTCGATCATCCCCATCGGGTCCGGGTAAAAACTCCACACTCTTGACTTGCTGGCAGACATAGCGAAGGTTGTCCAGATTCATATTGTCCTCGGTCAGGGTCTTGATACGTTTGAAATTAGCGATGACGCTCAGTGGGACGTAACCTTGACCGTCCATATGCTTCCGGAGAAACAAATCCTTGCAGAGATTGTCAATTGAGAAGTAGTACTCACTAGAGGCCGTGTTAGCATGGAGACACTTTTAGGTAGTCGATGGTTTGTGG